CAATTCTCGAAACAAGATTGTCACAGAATTCCGGAACACATCCCCCCCTCTCCTCTTCCTGATACCTCGAATGGTCGTCGGTTTTCCCTATTCAAACTAATACAGTTGTATAGTCAGTCCTCTTCTGTTTGAGCACTATTCACTTGCTCGGTTATTGTGTGAGTAACACAGCTGCCAGAAATTTTGTGTTCCCATTCATTTTCATTATTATAGTCATTGGTTTCTTTGACCAAACGCTTCTTTAGATTGTTGCACTGACAAAAAACGCGAATTGGCAGTTATTATTATTACTTTTTTCAATGCAATTATTAATCACACAATTTTTGATCCACTGAAGCACTGAAGGCCATCTAGGGTTTGAACCCGGGTAGATATGCATCACTGGTGAGCAAGATCTCGTATGAACGAAACTCGAATCTCATACTTTCTGAATGTAAACGATTGTCTGGGCCAATTGAATGTCGTGCCACGTTGAAGTAGATGAGTGTGCGGTATCAATAAAGGATGGAAATGTACATACACACATACACGGTGTGTTCATTCTCATTCTGATTTTCTCGTCGTCTTTTTCTTCTTCTGACATTCCCGTCGGCCCCTGATTGTTTTCAGCCTGCAATTCTCTGGTGGGGCAAGGTGTACGGCTACTTCCGCAAATCAGTCGAGAAAGGCGGTTTCGGTTTTTTCATTCTGTTGCACTCGAACACTGCATTGACTCTGTTCCACTGCAATACCGTGGACGAATTAGCTCGCTGGGAACAAATTATGAACAACGGATTCTCTCAGTGGCGCGAATCCTCCCCGATCACAATCGACCAGTTGGGTAAGAATCATAGTCTGTTCGATCATTTGTTCATCCAATGCTATTTCGTTGCGTTTATTATCTCTCTACTGAAGGAAGAATCAGTTGGAAAGATTTTTACGGATTTCTTCCCATTCATTACTGCGGTCTTTTTTTTGTTCTTGTTCCCCACTCTGTTTTTCGCCCCTGGCAAACACAGATTCCGACCTGAACAAAACACGCACTGCGATTGGCGAACAATGGAAACGAACCGAAGCGGTTATGGATCTACTTCGTGAACTTGACCGAGACCTCGAACAGGCCTGGTCTGCTCGAATGTCTGTCTGTGCGGCGCTTATTCGAGAACGCCTCAAAATTCAAATATTCGGTCGTCGAGCCACTTTGGGATCAATCATGTCCGGTTCCCCGTCAACCACCGCTCGAACGCGATCATCGAAGCAGTCTGTGTCCAGTTTCATCCCGAGCTCTGGACTGACTATGTCTACCACCACTAACACCAGCACGGCTTCGGGCAAATCCAATCAATCACCTGAATGTACCATGGAATTGTTGCGCACTAATACCTATATATCAAGCCTCACGGCTAACGAGGATTTGGATCAGTTATTTTCACTCTTCCAGGAGAACCGTGAGTTTAGTCAGTTTATGTGTACTCGAATCAACTCACAGAATTCTTGATGTCTGAAAGTGCTGCTCGTTGTCATGATTTATTGCTCATCAAGCACTTCGGTAACCTTTTGCAAACAAGCCGTCTGATCATTGGTTTTCATTTCGATGGTTTGATTTGAGTTGATTTCCTCGGTCAGTATTGCCGTTGACTGTGAATACTTTTCTTTCTTACTGTGCCGCTTAAGCGATTCGCGGGCTCGAGATCAAAAAATTCTCCAGCCATGTGTCTATCTCTTGTTTAGGGTGCTCTTTTTCACAGCTTGAAAACCATTCTTCCTTCACGACCTATTCATTCTTCCTGTGATGTATACCTATCTATTCAAAGAATCTTGATGTACCGACAGTCCTTTAGCGAGTGCTGCCAATCAAACAATTCAGTGTGCAATGGATGATCCTTTCACAACTCCCGTGGCAATCTAAAACTTTCAAGCCTTGTCCTTAGATCTCCTTCTCGCAGACTCGCTAACCATGCATTATAATCTAAGTAGATCGACTGGCGACTGTGGTAACCGCTATGGAATCGGTCTAAAGCCAACCCTCGTGATACTTTGATACCCCCCAAGACCGAGTGAGATAAAAATCCATGAATTTCAGATAAAATATGGTCGTAGAGATCTGTATTGCTTGGTTCATTGAGACTCTGCTCATAATCTATCACATATTTTGTCTCGTATTTACCACCCCATTCTGATTAATTTCAATCAGTCTTCCTGTGACCGTTAAAAAAGAAACTGTGGCAACTCACCTTGACCATCTATCTGTTCAAATGTTACTTACCGGGTCTATACCATTGCCCCCTGCGGGTTGCGCACTCCTAACACCTTAAATGCACGCTCGCAAATTAACATGAGTTCCATAAATTCTCCCGTACTTTTTAAACCTCTCTCTTCCTTCTGTAAACAGCTCTTTGAACTTCCTCCATACGGATCTTCATTTTTTCCTAGAATCCGTGAATCCCTTTGCAACCCTATCTGACAGTCGTAAACATTCGATTTTTATCTCGCTAACACCCCGCCCCCGGGACAAGCGATACCCTTAGAAATCTCCTTGTGGATTGATCTTTTTCGCTGTCGAAAGCAAACACCGTGTTGCTGTTGATGCCGATAGATGTGAAACCGATTCTGTCGGCTAGTTCGCTGCCTTCGTCCACCCCATCTAACTTCTCTCGCAAAGGGTGAACTATTTGGACTCACGGCTCATGAAATTTCATGGTCCAGTTGTGTGACGATAGCATCTGATTACTTCTGGAACTCACCGCTCGCGTTTTCGCTGAGCTGAGCCGACCCATTCTTAGCAGACTGTCAACTATCTTAGATCAATCTCTGAGTCACGGAGATTCGTCACCGGGGTCTGACAACTGCATCTTCGCTGAACGTTTGTTAGTAACCACGCAAATTGCCTAGCTTTGTCTGGACTCAGACTAACAAAGTGCACCGTTCTTAATTGTCTGCAATATACTTGACGATTCTTACCAATTCGCTCACCAGGCTTGCCGGAAGCACTTTTAGGATAGCGCGCGCGCACATACACACACACGCTATCGTTCATCACATGAACCAATCCTCTCAGTCCATTTGGCAGCACTGTGCGATGTTTCTATCTCTTTCTCTCTCTCTCTCTCTCTCTCGAATATTGTTGCTCAGTTTTCAAATCAATTTCGCGGTTGTCACTTCTCACAAGTTAGAAAATCCCTCGATTGTTCATCATCATCATTACTAGCACGATCACCGGATGGCTGTTTTTATAAAAAACAACGTACCAGATTGGTTCGGAGGACATTCACGACGCGAGCAAATAGCCACGGTAAACCAACAGGTGCGGTCTGCTCCCCCCTCCCCTCGCGGTCTCACTCTTCGTCTATTTGCTCCTTGTTGTCCTATCCACCCTGTTCACATACGCTGATCATGTGGGTCTGGACTTACTGGTTTCGACACATTGCAGTTTTCACATAACTTTCAGTCCGTCACTTTCAGTCCCCTATACTCCCCTCCTCTTCTTATTATTTAAGAAAGTAGTTTCTTACAAATATTCAGCCACAGATGGGTAACTGTCAAGTCCCAGTGGTTATTCTAAATACAAAATAAGGATCTCCATTTAATGTGGAACCCAACTTCACTGACAGATATCCATTTCATTCCGTATCAGTGAGTCTTCTCAACTGTGCTCCTCACTAGTATTTTTTTCCCCGGCATAGTCAATCGGACACACTAATCCGTGAGTGATCATCCGAACCTTGTGAAATACTAATCACTCTATGGTCGAAGATCGCACACAAACTCTTTCCCCCTTTTTTTCAAATTCGTTCTCTGTGTGTGTGTGTGTCATCCCCACTCATCCGATTCGATTAGTCTTTGCTGCCCCGTTTTCTTTAATTTCTCGGTTTTTCATCTTGTATCTGTCACGAAAATAGTCAGTATACATACGCATAAAACAAAACCATCGTCTCCCGAAAACCAAACAGAAATCGGCTTTTGGCTATCAAGCAACCACTCTCCTCCCTAATATCACTCTTGTTATTGACATGCAATCGCCTATCTGCATTGAGAGAACCCTCGTGAGACGAATTCCCCGAAAATCACGGAATGTGGCCTACCGGGGGGAATTCCGGTTTGACCAATTAAAACCAATATTCCCGGGGTGGTTTTTGGTCTCTCTTCACCCCACGCCAATCAAACCAAATGAATTCATGTGTATCCGTGTATCGTCTCCGCTTGATAGCTTCAGTTTGATGTGAGATTGTAGCAAATAGCGTTAGTTAGTTAGTTAGTTAGTTAGTTGAACCCGCTACTGGTGTTGGTCGACAGCAACCTTGTTCTCCATCATTACACCTTCAAGTGATCGTTGACTGGTGTTTCAGATCCAATTTGTACAACCATTGACCATGCACCTTCGTACGACGGTTTTGGATAAAACAGTAGACGGAAGATTGGAATGTCGAGAGCGGTGTTAAAGAGGAAATAGAATACTGAGGTAAACCACAATTGCAAAACTGAGGGCGGCGGTAGTCAAGTGTAGATTAAAATAGGAGGTCCCGAATTCGAACCGCACCACAGTCGGCTATCTTTCTCATTTCGGTCTTTCTCCAGGTAAACTTTGTCTGATCTCGGCTTCCTTCCTGAAAGTTGACTGTACATTTGTATGCCTAATAGACGAAAAAGAAGTAAAAAGTTTAATAATAATAATAAGTTATTAGTATTAGTTAAATATGATGTAACTTTTATCTAGCGTTGGTTTATTTAGATTTTTTTAGGCGAATGCGCAAGATTTACAAGTGCGCATTAAAATCAAATTATACCTATGTAAAGAACGAACTCCTGACCTCAGTTCCCTAGTATGAACAGTGCTGGATGATGGAACATGGATTATTACTGTGTCCCAATTGGGGAGATAAACCTGTGATACGTTTCGTTTACGTTTGTACGCAAACAGTTACATAATCTGGATTAACAGGCACATAGGAAATGAAAAGGAAGTCAAAGTGAACTCGAAATTTTTTCTCAACGATTTTTAAACCACATTGTCAAATTTAGCACTGAGTAATGAGCCATTCACAAATGTGGACAAAACAATAATGTTGTTTTAAATATGTCAAATTTCATCCTGTGCTTGATGTTCCGAATTTTGGTTTCTAACTGTATTACGTGACCTCGAAAAGAAACTAACGAATGGCAAGCACAGGCTCAATGAACCACAGTGCCACTTTATCTGGCACCTGAGGATTTTGGTTCTATCTCATACAATGGACAAAATTCATCTATAGCGGTTGAATCTGCTTAAAAAATGTCGAATAAATTCCGATTGTGCGCTGACGACTTAAGGGAAGATTCGTCAATGCACCCCAGTTGAATTCCACACTGTTTAGTCCCGAACTGGGCCAAAGAAACTCATGGATCCCATTCCAAATGAAAGATATCACGGCATCGAATTCGTAAAATATTTCAACCCACCCTTCGTTGGGCGCCACACTGAAGTCTGACGCCATCCTGTGAACGGGATGTCGGCACTTCGAATGACGGAATGAGGTTTCTAGCCAGTTGCTCATATATTCTCTGTTTACATAGATAATAAACTCACATAATCATCTCAGTGCTTCCCCTTCCTTCCTGTTGTCTCTGTACCAGTCGCTCGACTGTCTTTCGCCTTGGTGGGCAGTTCCTCAGCTGGCTTATCACGCAGTGCGTCTGATGTGGAGGAGCGCAAACGTCCATTATCCAAACCGATACGAAAAAACGAGACATTCAGTGTGCGGGACAGTATCTCACGTAAGTTCTCCCCACCGACCCGAATCCGCTCACGACTACGACCAGTCTGGTGTACTCTCTCGGTGAGGGGTTTTGGTCGTTAGCATGCTCGGATTTTTCGTTTCCTGCATTGTTCGGTCTGGTTATGCCGGATTGTTTTATGTTGTGTGTGTGTGTGATGTCTCCCGACTGTAACCGACGGATTCCTAACCGGGACGAACGGATAAATACCCTGTCCCCGTGTGGAGGGGAGAGTGGAGAGAGTAACAGCAATCAGGTGGTGAGTAGTCCGACTGAACTGTTTCCATCCTAACAAATTAACCACAAGAGATGGGACTGTTCTACCAATCGATTCCAGATTGTTTGATCACAGCACCGAAACATTTGCCCAGTTTTGAAATATATCTGTGATCTTCAATCAGCTAATCTTTACAGTCTTCAATTATCATTGTTATTGTGCAGTGCAGAAGTAATCACACATCGAATTCATTTTGTTTTTGTGTCAGTGTGGTTTGACCACGGTAGCCATTTCTAATTCATTCAAGACCTGAAATGCAATANTATATATATATATATATATATATATATATATATATATATATATATGTGCCGATGTTCTCGTCAACTAGGGCAGTATAATTTACCCCTTTATCTTACTTCCCGGCGATTTGTCCGACGTATATACACCAAAGACGTATTGTTTCCTGGTGATAGTAATCAGCTACTGCGTTCCGATCAAAGCAAAATTATGTGATTGATTTGTTTTTGCAATCGTCCGTTATATTGTCACACATCCGAGGAACGGGTGACTACAGTTATCCTCGTTCCGTTTCCTCGTAGGCTCACAGACGAGGAATCTGTGGCCACGGATCGATGGTCCGCTAGTGACGTCATTCAGATTAGTCTAGTCATTACAATTTATTCAAGCTTATGAGTAATCCCTTTTCACCAAACTATCATTTGAACCTTTATTGTATTGTATGAATACGTTACCTTTTCCTAGGCGTTAGATTTACCGCAGTTCATACGTATCGCAAAGTGCACCTTAACTACCAGTTGTTCCATCCTGCAATTGAGAGGATTGTGGCGCTCTTTGGTCAGCACGAAATTTTACAATACGGTAAAGTTTATCTAACTTGCTGTCACCGTTTGGTTAATGAATACTGTTGTTGTTATTGGTTCTATGCAAGGGGAGGAAGGTACCATTCATTTATGAACTGGGCGGCCACCCTCGAGTGGCAAAAGTCGCCTTGAATTCCATCCGGAGATCACCTGTTCGAATCCCATCATTCTTATCTCTTCTTCGTCGCCCAATCAAATACTTTCCAATAACCGAAGGATTAGCTAAATATTGATTCGGTACCATCACCAAAATCTTCGGGATGAACATTTTTTGTGGCGATCCATAGATGTTACGTATAAATACAAACACAGATACACACACACACACACAAGCCATCCCGCTCTTCCTGTTACTTTGTCGCCGGCTATCGAACACCGAATACTCGTCTATCACCATCGACTTTCGTTATTTGTATCTGTTTTTCTTTTCGTAAATTTGTCTATGCCTTTTCATCAGTCTGTTGCTTCTAACTGAGCGAGACGTTTGAATTCGATCTAGCTCTCGATGCCCTGTCCCTTGAACATCGTAAGTTTACTCACAGCTTCCTGCTTCCGGGCTCCACTCAGTTTATAGGCCTC